AAAGTTGAGGTCATCCGCAAGTGGCCTCAACCGGCGAATGTTCGAGAGTTGCGTTCTTTTCTTTGTTTGGCGTCATACTACCATAAGTTTGTTCCCAAGTTCTCTATCATTGCCCGTCCGCTGTCCAGACTAACGAGTAAGAATGTGTCTTACGCTTGGGATGAGGAATGCACAAAAGCCTTCCAAGCGTTAAAGGAGGCTTTGGTGAGTCATCCGGGTGCTCCGCATTGTAGATCCCAAACTCACATTCGTATTAACTACGGATGCCAGTTTGTATGGGATCGGTGCAGTGCTGCAGCAAGATGATGGCGATGGCTTACGTCCGCTGGAATTCTATAGCAAGCGCATGCCCAGTTACAAGGTAGCTGCCTCCACGTACATGTGTGAGCTCTATGCCTTGAGAGAGGCGCTAGAGCATTGGAAGCACAATCTCTTGGGTCGCCATTTCAAAGTGTTCTCAGACCATGAGACCTTGAAATGGGTTCAGACACAAAACAATCCCTCAACAACGATGACCCGTTGGCTGCATGAAATTGCTGTGTATGATTTCGAACTTGAACATAAGAAAGGTTGTTACAATCGCGTTGCGGATGCTTTGTCTCGCCACCCTGAGTACATGACTTGCCTTGTGAGTTCTTACCATCTCCGCAAGAATTTGAAGGAGGACCTCGTCGAGCATACTGCCAAGGATCCGGAACTCAGTCCTATCCTTGAGCAGATTCGGGCTGACCCTAGCAGTCAGCCTGATTTCCATGAGTGTAAGGGTTTGCTTTTCCGGCGATATGGTAAGTACGACCGCCTGTGTGTACCGAACCATGAGCCAACCATCACTCACTTCTTGGATTTGGCTCACGGCCAGGGCGGACACTTCGGTTTTGAAAAGACCTACGGAAGTTTGCTACAAAAGTTTGTATGGCCTGGGATGAAAGAAATGACACGGAAGTTTGTGGCTGAGTGTGAAGTGTGTCAATGCATCAAACCATCTCGGCAGAAACCCTATGGGTTGCTGCATCCTCTTCCTATTCCTGATGGTCCGGGTGAGTCTCTCTCCATCGACTTCACGGACATGGGAAAGAAGAGCAGGAATGGATACTCACAAGTAATGGTAATYATTGACCGCTTTTCCAAGTTTCTAAACTTAATTCCATTACCACCTCACGCCCCAACTGACCTAGTGATCAAAGAGTTTCACAACAAGTACATTCTGCAATATGGACCCCCGAAAACTCTTGTGAGCGACCGGGATACTGGGTTCATCAGTGCAGATTGGAAGGACTTCACCTCCCAGATCTACGATATCACACTCAAGATGACGTCTGGCCGACACCCGGAAGCCAATGGACTGGCCGAGGAGGTCAACCAGACTGTGATCCAACTTCTCCGAGCTTTAATTGTGCCTGATCAGAACTCTTGGGATGAGGAACTGCCGATTGTGCAAGGATTGTACAACAACTCCATACCCTCCTCTACAGGGATGGCACCTAATTGGCTGCACCTCGGATGGCAGATTCGCAATCCCCTGTCCTATCTGTTCCCTGACCAGCCACCTGGCCTCACACCTGGCCAGCAAGGCTACAGCGCTAAGTTTGATCGCCTGCTCAAAGTTGCTGTCGCAGCAATGGAGAGGCGACGCAGTGCTATGATTAAACACGCTAACAAAAAGCGCCAGCCTGTACCTTTTAAAGTGGGAAGCTATGTCTGGGTGAAAATGTCTGAGTTTTCTGAAGAAGAAGGTGTATCACGGAAACTTCTTCCTCAGTACTACGGTCCGTGGAAGGTGCTGAACCAAGTAGGAAGTGATTCCTTTGGTCCTTCTTACACGATTGACGTACCTGCTCATCTACGCACGTACCCAGTCTTTCATGTGTCCAAACTGTTTCCGTATGAACCGCCGGAAACATTTCCTTACCGGGAGTCAATGATTCCTCTAGCAATTAATGGCGGGCATGAGATTGATAGGATTGTTGAACACAGTGGGAAAGGAAGAAACAGACAGTATAAGGTTCATTTTCTGTACCACCCGTTGGACAACTTTTACTGGATTGCCAAGAAGGATTTGCTGCAGAGTGCCCCACGAGTCGTCAACGCATATGAACGACTGATTAGTGCAGAACAGCAGCCTATATTCACTACTACCCTCACTCCTACTGAATATAACCGGTCTCTCTTTGCTATCTATGCATATGACGCATTATGCACGGACTCTGATTGAGTTACTCGCTCGAAGGGACCTCGCTCTTGAGGGGGGGGTAGTGTAATAACCCGTCAGAATACAGACTGAGAATACTGCTGATTTCCTAAGTTCTGCATATGGAATGGATGCCTTGCTGAGATTCCTGCATTCTGCTGGGATTTCTATGTCTGTGTGTGTGTGCACTTGTAATCTGTGTGCCTGTATGAGTGTTTACTGGTATGTGTGTGTGAGCGTGCTTGTAACCTGCATGCCTGACTGAGTGCTTGTCGGTATGATTGTTTGAGACCCGCAAGGGTACTTACGTGTTGGTAGGCCCAGAGGGCCGGTACTTACCTGTGGCCGTGGCATTGAAGGGTTGCAGCAGGGGAAAACACTCGAGTGGCGGAGCCAGGGGCCCGCGGTACTTGAAGCAGCAGAAAAACACTCAAGTAGCAGGTAGGCCGGTACCGCACCCCGTAGYGGTAGATGTGAGGGGGACCGGAGGCCGAGCAGAAAAGACAAAGTTGGCATTTTTAGAGGCCCAGTAGCGGTAGGTTAAGTCTAGGCCGGTACCAGTCCGTCCAGTCTGAGTCTAGAGCCTGTACGGGTAATATCAGAAGTCTGCAATGATGTTTCCCTCC